TAAAATTAGTACAAAAATATTTTTAAATATATAAATTATATTTTAGATTTATGATATATAATTTGTATTGTAATAAATATATTATACTATTTTAAAATATTAATATTTAATTTATAAATAATTATGATAAATAAAAATTAAATTAAATAAAAAATTAATCAAATATTTACAAATTTTATCGATACATGTCTAAGAGTTAATTAATTAATTCAAAAACTTTCATATGAATCTTTGATAAAAACGGAAAATTATTTTAAAATAATTTTCCTCTTTCTTAATAATCACTCTAATTTTTACGGTCATTCAAATCTAAGTAGTTTCATTTTCCTTTTTCATAATAATCACTTTTATGTGAGAATTTTTTTAATAAAAAATTTATAAAGATAATTGCAATAAAAATAGAATTTATTCTCTGTATTTCTAAATACCTCCAACTCCTCCCCCGTTTATATTCTCCTTTGAAAGTCTAAATAACTTTAACTTGTATATACTTTAACTTTTCTTTCTTTTCCAAACACTTTCCAATTTGTTAGTTTATGTACAATTTTTTTATTGGTATCATAAACTGTTCTATTTTTAAAAACTCAAATTACTAGTTAACTTTACAAATTTCTTTTATATTTAGTTTCCCCCTTCAAATCCAGATATATTTTCTTAATTTCTTTTTTATAATAAATATTTTTCATCTCAAAATTAAAATTATCTATACTGTTAAATTAACATTTTTTTTAACTTAAACCAATTACTTTATTTATTTAAATTAGTTGTGTTTGTTTTCTTATAATTTTAAATATTTATGGAATATATTTTTAAATTATAATTAAATTAAAAATACTAAAAAAAGAACGAAATAATCTTTAATCTTTTCCCTTCCTTTTCCTTTTCACGTAAACCAAACGTGTAAGAACCATGATTGAGAAATTTTTTTAGAAAGAAATAAATGGCCTTTATAATCCTGAGAGTGTGAAGAAACTTATTTATAATATGCACAGAGCACTTTTAAGAAATAATTGGAAAATATCTTTTATGACAGATAATTCTTTATAGTTCATTTTAAAGTAGAGCAGTGAATCTTGTATTCAAAGTCCAAATGCTACTCTTTGAGCAAAATCTCGGCGCCTCTTGCTGGGCATTCTAACCAGTCCAGTGATCTGCAGCTCCGTAACTGCCCTACAAAAGCGTGCTCTATTATTGCAAATCAAAGTTAAGGATTACGACCGAGACCCATAAACGGCATTACAATCACTGCAACTAGGGAGATGGAAATACAAAATATAATACATAGCCTACAACCTAAAATCATATAAAGATCAAGACTAGGATATGAACTATCATCAAGTACTGATATCATTTAAAGAAAAACTGCTTACACTAGGTGCCTTTTAGTCTAACATTTGACTCTAAAGCATTTTCATGGTAGATATAAGTTATTGGCCAAAATATTTCCATTCAAGATCTTATATTATGGCTCTTCAATATGGGAGTAACATTTCTGGATCAATTTAAATATAGGCTGGATAAGATGGAACACTTCACTATCATAAATGAAAGGGAAAAGATCAACTTTACCCTCAAACTGAGTCATATCCACTTTAGTCTTTAAACATGCAACATGATTCCTAAAGTCCGTTTTATTTAGTCCGTTACTCTAATTTTCCATCAAACGTTTATGAAAATTGACACATTAATTTAAGCCCAAAGTGCACTTGAGCCTAAGTTGGAGGTGGTAAATTAAATTTTTCCGTCAGGAACTTTGCAACAAACCTGTACATGATTTGGATGTGACAATTTCCATTAATATTTGATGGAAAATGACAATGACAAAGGACTAAATTGTACAACTTAGAAAGTGTTGCATCGCACATTCTTAAAAATTGAAGGAACAAAGTACACAGATCCCAAGTAAGACGAGGTAAATTGGACTTTTTCCTAGATGAAAAGTATGAAAAATGTATTTTATAATTGTAAAGAAATCTTGTACCGATGGCAATCAAGCATGTCATATAGTTCTGTAACTGTTCCATTATTTCTTGTCGAGTTAGAATGTATGCGTGTATGCAATAAAAAATGACACGTGATGAAATAACTTTAGTAACCACTTTATCAAATATACTATGTGAAATGGAAAATAAAGGATACTGAATTGATGATTCGTTTTGGTCTGCAGATCCATTCATAACTTTTCTCTTCTTAGGTGAGGGGGACTGCTTTGCTTTTTGTTTACGTTTATTTTTATGTTGAAGAACAATTGATCTAAAAGATTGGAACCAGTCATGAATATTGATAAGATCTCCATGCTCTTGAGCCAGAGAATACCTGTAAAAACAAAAATTATTAACATCAACTCAAACCTACAAGTAGACTTCAAAGTAAATGAAAGAAAAATTTCAGAGCTCGTAGAAGCCTGAACCTCAAACTCTAAATCCTGAACACTAAACCCTAAACTCAAAAATACTTTTTATTTTTAATAGAAAAACCCTGAAAATTCCTTTTAAATTGTATCCAAACATACTTTTAAAATGGAAAGACACTTCTTTTGGGGTTGTACAAAAGTTTTAAGAGGGGGGTTTGGGGGCATGCTTTATAAATGGGGGCCCAATGCATGAGGCTCTCACTAGGTGGTGTTTGGGTAGGATAGATGTACGCAACCTCACCACTAAAAGCAGAGATGTTCAAAGCAACAACCTTAATGTTAGGCCAAGGATCACCATTGTTAGGGCATATTAAAGAGATAATTTATTACCATAAGAAGCTAATAGAACAATGAATTTGAGTAAACAAAACATAGAACAAAGAGCACAACTTCATATATAACAGGATAATACTAGAAAGGGATTCAGAAAGTATGGAGGCACAGATAATTCTTACTCATCCACATTAGTGAAACTGTATAGCATAAAGTATATTCAGTATTTGTATAGTGCTTTGACATAAAGGAGAGGATATACTAGAAAGGCTCATATATGACATGGCAGACATGCAATTACGGATATACTCCAATCAAACAACAGTTATCCTAATAAATATAAGGAAATAGCTATCTGAAAAAGGTAAAGGGAAACATTATCAAATAGATGCAAAAATTGGTATGCTGTATGCAAGCACTCTATTAGATACTTACACAATTGAAGAATCGTGCCTGGATGGCAATAGGGCATTGCCACTCTTGCTACAGCAACTGCACTTTAAAATCTTATGGAACTCCAATAGATCAACTTGAATTCTTCTTCTTGGATCTCCAATCAAAACCTACAAGCAAGAGTTAATTAAAACTGCTGAAGAACAAAGAAAAATTGTAGAGTTTTAAATCTAGTGTCTTAAACTTAAACCTATATGCATTATAGAAATCTCATATATAATAAAATTTATGCAGGAATGAAATCACTATTTGCAGTTCATATAAATGAAGATCTGTACCCAACATGCTCATTTCAAAATGCAATAACACACAAAGATACATTCTGCACCTCCATCTTATTCATGATTCATGATGCATTAACCATGCCAAAGAAAAATGAAATTTAGACAGCGCTTAGGTCAAGCTAAGGAATCTCAAGTTCTCAAAAAATGGAACCTCATGACTCATGAGCATGGACATAAGGGTGACAGTGGGTTACCCACAAATGAAAGTTCATTTTATCCAGGTTAACAACAAATATTATGAAGCTTTTAATGAACAAACAAATCAAGGATTAACACCCTAGTCCTAGTAGTAAGCATGAGTAGGACCTAATGAATAGGAAGTCGTCATACAAGAGAAAGGGGGTAATGAACTATGGTCATAACATCAATCAGTAGAAGTTGTATATGACCTGGATGTGTCTATAAGTAATATCAAGCCACAATTAAATCCATCTGTACTTCTGTGAGTAAAGTAAATGATCCATACAGTGAAGATAGTCTTTGGATGTCTTACCAATTGAAGCTTTTCAACATTCTTGAAGCAGAAAATTTCATGGAAAGGCATGCCTTCGATGGGCCTCAAAAAATTTCTGTTCCATGAAAAGATTGACAAGTAACAATGCTAGAATACCAGCAATGAGGAAATGACAGATTAAGTGCTTACTAATAAAGAATGCTTTTCTATTTTACTTCAATGCAGCAAGGGCAACAAGTCAAGAACTTCGTATATTTCCACTATAAATGATGTCAAGAAGCCGATTAAAAACACAATCTACTAGAAGTTACCTGATTGTGTTTATATTACTCCATGCTAATATTATTGCTAGAGGCTATGTGATTATAAATATCACCAAGTTAGAGATATCAGCTTCGAAATATAAATATTAAAATAATAGAATCTCGCATGATTGATGGGAAAGCTGGGCATGCATCAACTGTTTTCTAATCCAAGTAAGACATAGATTAAACTATAGTCATGTTTTAATTAAATTTGTTTATGAAAAACAAAGAAAAAGGAACGTGAGAATATGCAATGTTGGAAAACCAACAAATTGTGCCAACTTTTTTTCCCCACTTATTCAAGACTATAACTCAAATCCCTTTTCAAAGGGCTAGATCCTATTTACATAAATTTCCCCACATGTACTACTAGAAAAAGAAGATAAGAAAGTAAAATGAATTGAGCTTCTTGCATGAACTAAAATCAACTTATGCATTTAATTTTTATAGAAACTCTTTTCATTTAACTTTTTCAAAAGTTAAGAAATATAAGTTGATTTTAGTTTATGAAAATGCTCAATACGTTTCACCTTCTAATTTTTTTCTCCTATAGGTTTTTGAAAGAAATTTATTCAAACAAAGCCTTATTCTTTCCATTTCATATCTGTTGCATCGTTCAGACAACCCAGTGTTTGACAATGACGAAGTTTAATATATAACACTGCCAAATATCGAGTCTCAGCATAAATAAGGAAAAAAACAGTTATGATACATAAAAAAAAATAATAAAAAAATTACCTAACTATACAATCTAGAAATGAGATAGCTTGTGAATTTAACATTCTGGCATCCTTGTCAATGTTTATTGAAATCTTGGACGCAGATCTCCTGGAAATATAAATAGTTGGTTAATTATCCACACAAAAAAGCATAGAAAACCAATCACACATTTTTTTTAATTAAAAAAATCTTTGTTATAACAAACTTGTAAATGAAGATAACAGTGGATATCAAAACCAATCACTTTTTTTAATTAAAAAAATCTTTATAACAAATTTGTAAATGAAGATAACAGTGGATAACCCTTCCTTGATGCATCACTTCTTAACTCAAATGTTTAGAAAGGCTTTAATTTAATATCAATCTGTACACTTTTCCTTAAAATATGAATGATGGTTCTTGTTTATACTCTAAATGGTAAATATATTGTTTAAGGACAAAATTTAGATGCAAATCCTTGTGCTTTTAGTACTGCTCTCCCATTAGAATTAAAGTTTTACCTGTGTAATGCACATATAAAGACTTGCATTAATGATCAAATTACCAGTAAAATTTCAATTGTAATTGGAGAACAAGACCCAAAAGTACATGAAGAGTACATCTAAGTTTTGTCCATTTTATAAATCATGCAACTTTCACTTCTTATTAATGTATGCAAGGTAAAACTCTCAAGTTAACCGATAAACTCTTTAGAGATGGAGTTATAAAACTAGTTAACTCTGTCAAATTATTTTTCGGAAAAACTCTTTAAACTCATGTAAAACTCTCAAGTTGGCGAGTTTGAAATCAAATGTAATTTTTGCCCCCATAGATACCATAGTGTTAGTGTTTTATTATGACTCAAGATTTGAAGTCAACTCCTTTTTTAAATATTTTCACTTTAGGAATTATGTTTTAATGAATTTACTAATGATTTGATCTTTTATGTAATTTAATTTTATTTAGACTATAACACTTTTTTAGTGTATTTGCTACTTAGCTTTATTATGGAGTTGAAGTATTGAATTATTATTGTGTCAAAAGTATTATGTCATGCATATATGTCATTAATAGATTTTTAATATTATTTCTATAATAAATAATTTCTTGCGAGTTTATGAATCAAAAAACTATTGCAAGTTTAGAATTTTGACAACCTTGAATGTATGGATTTTATCATTCAATAAAAGATATACTGATAAAGATTTATGGTAAAATTTAAAAATTGTCATTTTCTTTCCGGAAAAAGTTAGTGCTGATCGGGTAAAGGTACCGAAACATCATTAATAAGGAATCCATCTCCCAGGCCAAGGAGTCACTCCTTTTGCATGACAAAAAAGCAGAAATTCCCCATCGCCCATGTCCAGTTAACAATATCTACATTTAAATTTTGATCTATAAGGAAATAATAAAGAACAAGAAAGAATTAAACTGTTACTTGTAAATGTCCTTGGAACTCTTGCGTGGACTCTTTCCATCTTCACATATTACTGAGGATTGCAACGTTTCCAATTTCTCATGAATCTGCAAGAAATTGTTATTTGGTAAATATTTGCTTTGACCAGGAATCAAGTTGCACAATATTTATGCATTTGCAATCTCCAGGGATGCAACAAAACAAGGAATTATCAAAATGATACAGGTAGAACATTGATAGAATTGTCCTTTCAAACACAACGCAGTAAAATACAGTCTCTAAATCACAAGAGTGGTTACATACGTCACTTCTACATTTGCTAACGCTCCAAATATATCTACCGAATAAACCAACCATCTAATATATTTTTCCCATTAAGGAAGAAACATTATCAACAACCACAAAACCTTATCTCACTAAGTGAGGTTGGTTATATGGGTCACATGACACCATTCACTCGCTATCCATGAAATAACATTGCAAGGAAGAAACATTATCAATGAAGCAAAATACCTAAGTTACAGGAACCTTTGAAACAATCATTAGTACTTAGTGGATCACCATATGGAAGAAAAATAAAGCAATTTGTCATGTCTTGAGCAGTGCTCTCCTTGTCAACCCCTCAAATTCTATAATGAATCAATGATTTGTCCAAACACTTGGGATGCTCCCCAATGTTTCCAAAATTCCTACACTAATTAGACCACGAAGTTTAGCACTGTGAGGGTGTTAAACTTCCAGCATCAAGGCTTATAACACATCAAAAGTGCTCTACATGGCGTCTAAATCTCCAAAGAATCATCAGTAATTATCCAGCTAAGTGCCATAACCTAAAAGACCCAACTTGCAACTTCTTGTTGAAGAGTGCCAGTAATGAATTTATTGTGATTTCCAGAATGAATTTTATAACTCAAATTTTCAAGATCAAACATTATAAGAATCCAAATTCCAAGTTTTTTTAACCCACTCAAGAATATTGAAGAAATAAGTCAAGCAAAACCAGCAGTGATTCCAACTCCAAAAAGGAAGCATATTTTTAAGATAGATGCTTCCGATGAGCAGCCATGCACATCTGCTTAGCATCAACCCAGTCTATTCAACATGATAGGCTCCCTGGCTAACCTAACCCAATGTGAATAAGTATAGGCAATTATCAACTTCCAATAGGGAAACTCTATATAACCACATATCAATTAATACAAAGATTTGAATTTTGGACGATTACAACAACAAGAACAACAACAATAAAAATAATTCATGATTCTTAGTTAGCTATAGAACCCTAGTAGGAATCCTGAAGAGAAATAAAAACAATAATTAAGGAGGGTCGTAAAACACATGCCTAAGTGAGAGTAGTGTGATAGTCCAAAGAAAATAAGAAGGCACATGAGATCCAAACTTTTGGAAACCCTTTGAACATGTGGATGCAAAAGCAAGAATTGCAGAGTACTCCTAGAGTAACTTCCAAATAAGTTGAATTCCAGTAGAAAAGCCAGTAACTGGATGCAGTATCCAAATCAGAAACGAGTTAACTGACCATCTTAAAACCAGTGGCCTACTCACCATATCTACTTTCTCGTCTATTCAATTGTTACTAAACTAGAAGATTTTAAGCTTTTAACCTACAAATTGTGATCCCCCCCAAAAAAAACCTCCAGGCGAAAATAGGGCATTTCAAGCTCAAAACACCAATAATCTCCATCCTGATGTAATTCACTGATCTACTACTTGTCAATGACTGGTACAGAATTTCATACTTGTTGGGAAATTAAAATTATTTTTACATGGTTTATCGGTTACTACCAACTCTGCCAAGATCTACTGCTCCTTTATAGCATACTAGTTAATTTATCACAGTTGATTGCAGTTACTGAAAAACTTTGGAGAGAAAATCACTTTCAGCAGGCTAAAGTCAATGCATGCACTTTAGCTTGCTGGCCTTCTTCTGTTGGCAGCCATTAAAAAGAGTGCATAAGCAATTTCATCGTCTCAGATGCCAACATTTAATAATTGGATCCAATTACTCTCAAAAGATGGTCTCAACGAGAAGAAAAAAAATTAATTCAGAAAAATTATGATCCCTAGAAAGCAAAGCATATAGTCAAGTTTAAGCATACCTCTGAAATATCTGCAGTAATCTTTTCCCAACTCTCAATCAACTGATATAGCGCTCCTGTAGGAAGATCCCTGCACAATTTCCAATCAAAATTATATAAGCATTTGAATAGACAAATAAAGAAGGAATATTTCAATTTAATCTTAATGATTATCAACATGTCTTTTGTAGTTTTGTAATGTTATCGTATTTTTTTGTAACAATATTTGGTACTCCTATTCTTTTTTGAAGTTAATAATTTTCTATTTCTTTCCTATTTGTTTCGGGCAATAGAATACTTCATGACTTGGTCTTGCCAATATAAGGAGGTAGCTGTATGCTTTAGGTGTCATCTTTTATAACATAGATATTATGGCTCTACCTATCCTTCCGCCTTTTCTGCTTAAATATGCTCTTAGGAGCATAAGTTGCTCTAAATCAACATGCTTTTCTAAAAGACAAGAATCATATTCCTAGCTACCTCACTTTTCGTACTATCTGGCCAATAAAACCACCGCTTTGCATGACGGAATATTGTTGACAGGGATCATTTGTTGAGGACAAACCACGATCTTTTTCACCCCCCACATGACAATCAGAAACCCTTGACAGGTACAAATCTTGACAGAGAGCTTCACAAAACAAATCCAATAGTCGCACTTTGCTATATTTTCCAGCTTCATATAGGCACTGAACAAAAGGAAATATCAGGATCATTAACTGCAAGTTAGCCACGTCAACAACTAATTACCAAACAATTTCATTCGGAAAACTATAGACAGATTGCAATGAATAAAAAATGTTTCCAATTTTTTTATCGACAGATGAAATCATAGCTACTTGCAAGGCAAATATAATAGACTGTCCATCTGCCATAAAAAGGGGATAATCAAGGAAAAAGCATCTCAAATGGAGCAGTGCCATGGAGAACCTCAAACAAATATAAAAAAGAACGTCTAAAAATCCTTCCAAGATAAGATATTAATTTCATAATATCATTAAATAACTATGATACACATTTTCCGAATATATGGGCACCATGCTTTAGTATCTAGAAAGCACAACCTTAAAGATCAAATACTCTCCATATTTTGGTTTAGTTTTTATTTTGGGATGTCCATACTCTAGGCGTCTACAGGTTATTTGTACAGGGCGCAACTCTACCGGAATCTTCTAGAGACTTTCAATACAGTTAGACAGTTGCCTTGCCTGTTAGTTACGTTTGTCACAGATGACTGTTTGTTAGATCCATCATAACTTTTGATGTACAATTAGTTATCATCTCAGCTTGTGGCACAAGCTTCCATTATAATATAAACTCTACCAACATTTAGAATAATGAAACGAAAACATTTCAGATCTAATTTTGTTTTTTTTTTCTCTCTCTCTCTGCAGTATATATTTGACTACATGAATTCCTTTATCAATTTAATGTCCATATAAAAGCTTCCTTTCCTACTCGGTTTAAAAAATATTCGGTGGCAACTACATAATGCACCAAAAAGCTACCTATTGAATTGTTTAGGATTTTACTGTCATCAAATGATCAATTATAATACAAAAGATTAACAAAGCGAGTTTTAAAAGCAAAGGAATTTGAGTCATTGACCAATAAGAATGGATGAAAAGCAACGGCTAAATCTTACCAGAACTGCAGTGCTCCATAGCTTCTGCTTTGCCACCAAATCTGACAAACCCTCAGCCATGTTCTTTTTAGTCTGATGATCAACCATTTGATTCCTAAATTAATTTTAACCAAGGGGTGAACTCATGCAAAGCAAATCTAAATTAGAACAATAAAATGTGTAAACTGTAATACCTTGCATACAGAGGAAGTTCATCTATGTATTTCAACATAGTCTCAGGTGATAGTGCAGATTTTCCCTCCTGACAACCATTTATAACCAACCGTTAAAATAATAAAACAACAAAAAAAAATGAATAAGATTATAAGAATGATTTAAAAGGTTTGACAATAAAATTTCTAGGCAAGTTTCTGATGATACGTCATTTAATCTTTACATTGGCATTGGTTGGAGGCGAAGGAAGTGAACACTCCAATCAATATTGTTAAAATAGTGTTCGTGAGAAAATTGCATATATAGACTGTGCACTTAAATCTCTTATTTATGGCTTGATTACAATTAATAAATGAAACAGTCAAGGAGATAGTGATGCTTATACTGCTTATCCACTCCATAACAACAACACTCTGCAGTTTGAAGCTTGGATGAAGTACCCATTCTCATAGGATGAAATGTAAAAAATTTGAGTTACATGGATCAATCACTGACCAACTGAAAAAATTGGGCTAAATGAACCTAAAACACGCAACAAAAACACTAGATCTAAAAGCTATGCAAGTATGAAATCAATTTAAAAGAGCAAACTCAAAGGAAAGATAATTCAAATATTAGAAGAGTTCAAGGCACAGACTTTCTGATCTTCAGCAAGCATTCGCCCATGTACGAGACTTAGAGGTTCCATTGAGAAGTGTAGCAAGCAAGCTACCTGAAAGATATAGTAAAAAAATATAACATGCAAAAGACTAGGTCATATTCCCAGTTACTGTGTACATAATTCATGCAATGAAGATACAGATAAAACTTAGTAAACCAAAAACTGCACAATTAACCTTCAAAGCTCTAATAATGGATGTTACTGTCCCATCCTGGTTGATGAAGTAGTTTCTCAGGAAGACTGCCACTTTATGACTAATACTAAACGTGGAGCAATGTTTCACAAGAACGGCCTCAACAATTGCATCCATTCTCTCAGCTGGTGTTCCAAGCATGAACCTAGAGGGGCACAAACGCTCAAGAACATGTGATGACAGAATGTTCCGGGGAATATCCACTGTCGTTGCAACTCCAAATATGAAGATGATTGGTACCTTAACAACCCATTCACTGGTAGAAAAAGCGGAAGATAAATGTCGTTTCCTATCATCTAAGCCAAACTAACCATTATACATTAAAATGAATAAACAAATATTGCAATCTCCATATATGTCATAAAAAATATACAAGGAAAATATAAGTAGGGAGGTCTCAACGGTTTTGGAGAGAACACAACAGCATTATTTAATTTGCGAAGCCAACCCCCACTAAATGGGAAAATGCTTTGTTGGTGTATATACATGGTGAGGCCTCAACCATAGTTGTCCCAAAGCAATAGAAAAACCACATAAAATATTCAAGAAGCGCATATCAAACAACATTACAAATATAGACATAAACATTCTTGCAAGAGATGCATAAACATACCTCAACATCAAGATAAAATCAGTTAAGACTGATCCACAACATCTCTCCAAATCATTAATGATCAGCACCAGTGGTTTATTGTAGTTGACTTGTTCTCTATACCATGATGCTAAGATTGATATATCAGCTGACTGCTCACATCAGCATTAAGAAAAGGAAAAAGTAAAGGAGACAGTACAAGTTGATAGAATCAATCAATTTAATTATACATAAATAAGTACAGAACTGGAAGAAGCACCCACATCGATAGCACCCCCCAGAAACTCTCGCAATAAAGCTTTCAAGCAACCAGCAATCCCATTTTTTAATGAAAATTCCAGTGATGAAAGCATAGCCACATGGGATCCATGGGATTTCAAGAAATTGCCAAGCTCTTCAAATGTCAATATATCATCCACGTACTCTATGTTTCCTGCCAATCACAGTTCAATCTCAACATTTTCCTTGGAAATAACTAGAGTATGATGACCCAAAGCAACTCAAGTAATCCACATGCTCATGGAATTGATGAACATCTATCTTAATTATACCCAGTTTTCAAAAATCAAAGCATTCAAGGGATTTACCAGAAATGTGAACATACTTACTGGTACTGACTAGCGCAGTGAACAGCTTCCCAGGAGTATTATTTAGAACAGGAAAAGACCGAGTTGCTTCAGAAATAGTAGGTTCTCCAAGCAACTTAGTAGCATTGAAGCACTCCAGAACCCATTGTTGAATATCATGAAATACACTAGTATTTAGATCTCTTAAAACATCCTGCAGTAGAAAGAAGACTCTTCACTAATTTTCTTGCTGGATCGCTCCAGGGTAAAGAATGAAAATAAATTTTAATGTCCACACAAATATGCGGCAAAACTAATTATAGTAAGGTACAAGATTTGCAGAAAAGATAAATAGAGGACCTTAATGGTACATTCAATCTTTGCCCAAACAATGTCAAAAGCTTCAATCTGCGGTTGCTGAAACAAATGGTGATCACATTCTTTGGTCACGCTTCCTTCCAGTTGCTTCACACTTTCAGGTGATGATGAAGATAACTTACTTCTCTTGCACAATTTTGCCTGTGCTGTTGGTGCTCTATCTTTTCTCCGGAATGAAGCTTTATGAAGAACAAAGAATGGCTATTGAAAGGAACCCAAATGAAGATTAAATCAGCACTCTGCCTATATTAGCTTTGAGGTCAAATCATACTAAGACTAAAACCAATTTCTAGACCTGTTATTTTCTAGCTTCTCCCGTATGCAATGAATATAAACCAATAGGCAATACACAAATTAAAAAAAAATGTAACTAGCACTGCTGCAATGAATTGAATACACCGTCCATCATGGCAATATTTTTATAGAGGCTAGATTTCATATTATTGGATTGTTATGATGCGTAAACGAATTAGTCTTAAATAATGACTATAGTTACATTTATAAAAATTCGTCGTTCATTTAAAATTGATCGAATTACCGATACACATTCTCAATTAAAACAACAGTTTCAACTTCAAATGCCAACCAAATATTAAAACGAAAAAGTAAAACCTAGTTAGGAGTTGAAAGGGCGAAAACAAAAAGACTCACAGGCACATTAATGTTCTCTCCGAATATAAATCCAGGAGCCAAAATAACTAACCGGAGCAGTTAAAACCAAAATCAATAAGACAAAATCGAGGACAAAAGCACACGCCACTCATCGATAAGATATACCTAATAAACTTGTTAAGTTATATCTAAGGATATTATTAAGCATTGTTGAGGACCAGAACTTAATAAACTCGTCATGGAGAAGAATCACTAGCCATATAGAGTGAAGCAATATTAGAAATCATTAGCGAAATGAAACAGTGTTAAAGAGGACAAAGGCAAAGCGTTAAGATATGTACATAATCAGAGAGTTATGGAAAAAAGCAAAGGAAAAGAGAGAACCTGAAGATCGTTCTCTATGACTTCGGGTGTTGTTGACGGAGGCATCGAATCAGAAACACTCCGAAACGGTGCCATTGAAATCTGCTATGAACACGCGCGCGAACAGAGGGAGAGAGAGTAGCGGCACTGTGTCAAGAAAATGAGATCGGGTTCCCTTTGTTATGGCGGGAAAACACAAGGGTAATTACACATTAATCCTATCTTTTATAGAATAAGAATATTTCGATGATTATATTATATGTTTATAGGAAAATATAATGTAGACCAAACAAATTTTTTATTAACCCTGAGAATATGAAAAAGATTTCCAATAAATTTTAATTGTTCACTAACAATATTTTTTTGTTGTTGAAATATTCAGAAATGTCTCAATTCCATCAATATATTTTCTGAGAATGTTATTCTCAAAAATGAAATTAAATATCCTAAAAACAAATGACTAAAAATAGAAAACAAAATTGTTTTGGGAAGGATTTAGCTAAGTTCAAATTTTTTAAAGGATTAAAAATGAATAATATATGTTATTTGCTCAATATCAAATTGAGACATAAAACTTTTAGGCAAAACACCTAATTTAGTCCCTTATAATAATTAATAGTTTCAATTTCGTCTCTCTATAATTTTTTGTTTTAATTTGGTCCCTAATAATTTAAAAAATGTCAATGTTGGACTTTCCGTCCAAATTTTACAAACGGTGTTAAATGTAGAATTGTAGATGACGTGGATGCCACGTAGATACACAGGTGGCAAGGTCTCGTACTCCTTCTTTAATGTAGCTGGAATGATCGTTCTGAAACTAGAACGGCTCGTTCTAATCCTACTCATTGTGTGTTAATTTTGTATCTGAAACGGGTTGTTCCAGATGCAAATGTAACACACAATGAGTGCCTCAAAACGGGTCATTCTGGTTTTGGAACGGGCCGTTCTGGTTTCAGAACGGACCGTTCTGGTTTCAGAACGGGCCGTTCCAGGACGCCAACCAGGATTTATATTTTAATTTAAATTTAAGTGTTACATTAAAGGAGCATTGACTGATATTTAAATTTAAGTGTTACATTTCAACAAAATGCAGCAATGTAGTTCAAAGATTAAAAACAAAAATTCATAGCATAACATAAATTCAAATATTAAAATATGCATCAGAGTTGATATTCTTATTCCTATTTTTCATTATTGTCCATATAAATAATAAATTAGTTAGACGTACTTTACTGTCTGAGCCGCCATAACCTAGAACAGTAGATGCAATAAACTTATGCATAATTCTAATGGTAGAGTGACGAAATGTAGATGAATTGCATCTACCAGCCTCCCATTGTGTATGACTTGTTACAATCCCCAAAATATGTATGGATTAAATGATCTTGGGTTGTTTTTCCCTTATGTTTTGAAATCCAAAAATACCATTGAATTTCTCCAAATTGAGACGATACTCTATATTAAAAAGTCTAAAGAAAATCAATCCTGGTTCACAATTTGCCCTGGTCAAAATTTTAATAGGGAAAGAACTAAGAAATCATGAACAATCCTTGGATCTGGAACGGCCCGTTCGGATTTCAGAACGGGCCGTTCTAGATCATTAAAAAAGGGGGTGAGGAGGCATGCCACCTATATATCTACGTGGCATTCACGTCATCACATTTAACATCGTTTGTGAAATTTGGACAAAAAGTCCCAAATTGACATTTTTTAAATTATTGGGGACCAAATTGAAACAAAAAATTATAGAGGGACAAAATTGAAACTATTAATTATTATAAGGGACTAAATTAGGTGTTTTGCCAAATTTTTATTAACATGATTTAAAAATATGCAATTTTTTCAAATAAAAATACACATTTTATTGGTACAAATAAATTACACATTTTAGTTCTGCTCATATAAGAAATACATACGAAGCAAATATATTGTATAAACTCAATTTTTCCATCACCACATTTTATTTTTCTTCATTTTTTGTTGACATTACTAATTACATTTGTGACTTTTTCTTTCTTCCCCTTTTTATCTCTCTTCTTCCCCCACTTTCTTACACCCAACAGTCCAACACTCAATATTTTCAATACATACTTAACTGATTTTTCTTCTGGTAATTATCATGGATGTAGCATTAACAGTTCTTAACTAAAATATAATACTTGGTTTAAAAAAATAAATACGGAATGCAATAAAAGTTTTAGTTTTATGCATGTTATAAAATTTTAATAGGACTAATGTGAATCTTCTAGTTATAATGTAAATAACCTATTTGTAACCCGAACTTCAGGGTCATTTTGTCTAAAGATTTTTTTTAAGTTTAACAAATCTATTTTACTGGCATGTGCAACAATTAATGAAGATATTATGTGAAAGGCAACCAAAAAAAAAAATCGCGCACATTTAAAAGAAAAAATTTGAAAACGTTTTCTATTAACTAGTAAAAAGCACATATTATCTATCATCTATCTGTAAACCAAAATACAACAAAGTCAGGTTGAGATTCGGGCGAGTGTTTCCTGCGTAAACGTGCATGAAATGCTTCCTGCGTAAACGTGCATGAAATGCATTTAATAGAAGGCTTCCATTAGATTTTGGTTAAGAATATATTACAAAGCTTTGGATAGAAACGTTCATCTAGAATTGGCTATTACCAGCTGACTTTCTACAGTAAATACATTTTTCAGTGAATCCGTGTCAGCTGCACTGAGATCAGTGGCAAACAAAAATTCTTTGCATGATTGCATTAAATACTCAAGTGTTGGATTCGGCAAACTACTATTGGAAACTATATTGCTAGCCTCATTCATTAGTCTAACAATCGTGTCCGTCTGAAACCGTTGAGAATTTTCTTTGAATAGATTCAACCAAGACGACTTGGAAAATGGCTGCAAATCTTGTGGGGGGTTGTTGGTAATACATGTGAGAGCAGCAACATAGTCATCTTTCTCAAGCTTTGCACAGAACCTTTCCTTGATCAGAGGAGCTGATGGAATGCGATCTGTATCGGTTAAGTGCTTCCATGTTATCTCCAAAGGCCGTTCCTAGAACCCAAGTTCCAAAAGTTAACAACATCATCGATTTCCTCATAAACTTAATATTTCTCACTATGTAGTTTCTATCAACGACGAGAAAACTAGACCTAGAACCAAGATTTTATAATAGAAGCAAGCTATGCACCATGACAACATCAAAACAAACGTAGCTACCATAGAAAATTCAACTATAATGATGTCAATAGGTGTTTTGGTATAACGATGCTGTAAGATTTTGAACCAAAATGACATGCCCATACTAATATAATGGCAACTACTCCAACATGTACGAGAATACGGAAATCTCAAAAAACATTATAGTTATTCACATCTCTAAATTAAACATATAGTTATTTTGTTTAGACTCTTGTAGTTCACCTTCAAATTAACATTGAAAGACAAATTTTGAAGAGGAATTCAAGAAAATGTGAAGTCCATTTTATTTTTTTCGTCTTCATTTGCAACCAAGCAAGCTTTTCATCCTATTTACTCCTAATTTACTAAGCATGTATCCTAAATCATTTTATGCATGCCCAAAAGTAAAATGTTGTTCACATGATCACAAAAAGGATCATTCATAAGCAAATGAATATGTACAAAAGGAATTGGAAGGTTACCTTTCCAGCTTTTGAAGCCTCCAATATCATTCGAAGGTGACGTTTTGGATTGAAGTGATAACCACGGTACAGCATCCTTTGATAGACATCATCAAAATAATCCCATCTCTTCTCTGCAACACATGCATCTAACATGGTGTTGAATGTGTATGTATCTGGTACCACCAGCATTTTGTAATCACTATTTCTCCTCAAATGATTTGCATTTTCTGACATCTGCTCAAACAACGCTTTAGCTTCTTGAAACATGCCATGTTCCAAGTAAGCTTTCAGCATTATGTTACAAGTAACCAGATTTGGAGTACAAATTTCCTTCATTTTCTCAAAAATATAAGCCCCATCTTGAATGTTTCCAGAGTCTAAACTTGCTTGCATCAAGCCAGTGTAGGTAACTACCAATGGTTTATTTGCAACCTTACATATCTTGTCTATCTGTCAAATGATGAACAATACCTTTGGTAATCAGGCCTTTTAGAAGTGTATAAATACCGTTGCACACTAAACTTATTTTTCTAATAACCAGGACGCTTCTCTTTGAACCAAGAGAATTTATTTAACACAGAATTAACAGTCAACAACTTCTATCCAATCAATTTATGTCAAATGAAATGATGGCAATCTAGTTTACACTTCCCTGAGGTGCAAATACTGCATCCATGACACTGATTATTCTTGCTGTTTGAGGCCAACTTGAAGGTGTGTCGGGAAAATGAACGTGCTTTTGATAAAAAGGGGAAACTTTGGAAAAAGATCAAGAGTGCAATTTAGATTTGCTTGTTTTGTCAATGCACAACTAGTATGAACTTGATTGGAGAAACTTTTCCAAAAGCACTTGTAGGAAGAAAAATATGAACGGAAAATGAAATAGCTTTTCAATAAGCTAAAATTAGCTTATGTATAATATAAGCTGATTTATAGAAGTTCTCTCATAACTTTTCCAAAAAATTACAAATTAATTGTGCATAAGCTAGTTTTAGCTTATAGGGAAACTTATTTTATTTTTCTTTCCAATTTCTTTCTTCTAAAAGTGTTTTTAAAGAAGTTTATTCAAACAGACTCTATCATTTGAATGTTCTTTGTTCTTTTTGAGTAAATATTATGTCAATTTTTATGCATTTTATTTTTATATGCATACAACTTACATTTTTATACATATACAATTGATATATATCATATATTTTAACAGCTATACAACTTCCACTATTTGCCCAAGATGCTATCTGCTATATGATATAGCATATTATTGGCTTTCAGCAATTCCCAATTGATAACACTGCTATTCATGCAATTAAAATTTTCAGAGAAAATGAAATGAAATCACCATGGCTACCCTATTAAAAAGGAAGCGGTGAAAGAAAACAGAAATAACAAAAAAAGCACCTGCTTTAGTGCCTCATGGCTTCTTCCAGCTGCACAGAGACATCGAGCTAGATCATAATAAAGAGAAGCAGAACCTACAATTCCACGTATTTCCATTTCTTGGACAGCCAATATAGCCTCATCAGTTTTTCCCTCTTTCCAAAGTGTATTTACAAGAACTGCATATAACAGGAAGGTCAAGATTATAACAAAGATAAGTGATTGACATAGATATGAAATAAATGAGAATACCTCTATATGTCAATGAATTGGGAATGAAAGACTTCTGAAGCTTTCTGAAAAATTCATGAACCAAGTTATACTTGCCACATGAAAACATCACCTGTTCCAGTATTACACAAATTCATGAATTATGTGCAAGCCAACCTTCATATGTACATAATTGCTACTATTATTGTGTTCTCCATCGAATCAGAGTTTCCCAACTGAAGTATAATTCAACTCAACCAGAAGCAGGAACCTTGTCCTAAATCTTGTAAAGATCTCCAATTTAATGGATTATGTTATTTTATTTTTGAAGCAAAAATTGAATTATCACATTTCCTCTCAGTGAGCCATCCACACTTAGCAAAATTAAATACTGCCTCCAAATACGAGTGTGAATGAGCAAGTGGGCTAGTCTTTTGAGTTGATGTATTATTTTTTACTGCTTATTATTTTCTCTTTGCACTCTGTAAGATCTTCTGTTTTTGGAGATATTGCATCCCAACTCATTGTACTTTGCTTCAAATAGAATCTCCATATTCTTAAAAAAAAATTTAAAAAAATACAACAAAACTACGCAATTTATTTCCCAGCTTGATTAAAAAGATTTGTTATTTACCAAGACTGTATAAAATATTCAAATGTTATATAAATCATAAAAAAAACAAGAGGTGACTACTACCTCCATAACTAGGCCATAAGTCGTAGCAGAAGGTTGTTGTCCTTTCTCCTTTAACTGCTGTAAAACCCAAAAGGCCCCTTCCCATTGTTTCCGCCTAACACAAGCATTAAGGACCTGCATTCCCAATCAATATATAAATACTATATCATGCCTAAATTATAAATTGGACAACTACGAAAGTTATAAAAAAAAATTCAAATAGAAAATTAAAGCAGAGAATATAGAGTATAAGAAACCCAATCACAATAGTGAAGATAGCACGAGATATTCACAAAACAAAAAAGTAAACATAAAATACGCAACCATGAGGCCTTTTAGCATAATTACCCATTCAAGGAAGAATTGAACTCCTATGCAACTTTGAATGGCAAAATTCATTTGGGAAAACCTTCTTAGGAAGATGATGGATCATCAAAACCTTCTTATCACAACCAAAAAGATAACAAGAAAAAATAAATTTGTAAAAAACAACTGTTGAACAAAGAGAAAATATTTTAGTAAGTCATAAAAACTAATATTTTCACGATTAATAAAGAATTAGCTGCATAAAATTGGTTTTTTCATGTTGTTAAAGTATCTATTCTCTATTTAACTGTAGAAACAATCACATTACAACAAATAAATTTAACCATAAGGATAATTTTGGAATTTAACTTCCACATTCAAAATGATATGTCAGATCCCAAACCCATAGATTTCAGTTTAGAGATGGACTTCAAATTTATGGAGTAGAAAAACTATTGCATAAACCTCTTAAAACTGAGTTCTTTTTTAAACAACTTACTGCATGATAAACTACAATATCAGGTTCCAGCCTTGGGTCCCAGTTCTCCAGTACCCCTGTTTTGAACTTCTTCTTAGGTGGTGACCGCATAATATCAATTACATCAAAGAGTTCCTTCATGTGCCCTGCTTGTCCAAGAGTAACAGCAATACTATGATAAGCTACTAAATCAGGATATGAGGACATATGTTGCTGGAAGAAAAGGAAAGAGAGTTAGTGAAGTTTTCCATATTACCACATCCAAGAGTAACAGCAATACTATGATAAGCTACTAAATCAGGATATGAGGACATATGTTGCTGGAAGAAAAGGAAAGAGTGTTAGTGAAGTTTTCCATATTCCCACATCATGTTGAGTCACATATTTCAGTAGAAAAAAACATTTTGCATGGGTTACATGCATTACCTGCATTGCATGAAATATATTTAGTGCCTCTACAGGTCTCCTTGACTTTCCAAGTGCATCAAGAGCAGCTGTATATATATGCCTAATGTCAAAGATCAGCACATTAACACTGACTAACCGGAGATAGAATAGAAGTTTACATGTCAAAAGGTTCCTCTGTGTGTGTGTCTTACACCAACGAATAACATTTATAGGATAAATATTTTGGGAATCTACTACTATATTGAAAGTAAGTGCTTAAAAAATTCCATATCAACCAAAGTTGTTCACTCCAACACATATCAAAATCAAAGTGTAATATACTTTTCAAATAAACAAATACTCCCGTCATTTGATCACACATGTCTAGTATTTTAAAATTTCTATAATTTGGCATCAACGAGTTACATGATACGCATATTTCAATGGTTGGGCTAATTAAAATCATTTTCTAAGATATCTATACAGGCAACTAAGTACTTGTTCAAGTATTAGTCATACCATGTTCTACAGTATACTAAAGTACCTTAGCTTGTGGGACTTAAAACGTTCACGCTTTTGAAGCCATTCGATGACCTGTATCACTCGCCGCCAGTTTCCTAGTTTTCCCAAGATTATGATAACCCTTGTTATGGAATAGTCGCAAAATTTAATCCTTGCACTTCTCATTGTCTTAGAAAATATCCATTCAGGTAAATTGATATCTGCACCATTTAACCTGTTTGAGGAAATAGTCAATACAGAAAATAAACACTTAAAATGATAAAAATAAAAAAAAATAAAAATAAACAATCCTAAAATTACACATTGAAAAGAGCCATTGGATTACCAACTTAAGGCAGAAAAGAAAGAAAAATGATACTTCCACTCATGAAGTAACATTTACCAACAAGATATCTGTGATATCTAAAAGAAATTTAAGAAGGAAGCAACCTATGCACGCTGAAAAATAAAAACTTCAAGACACCATTTTTAAGATTAAGTTAAAATTTAAAACATTAAATATTCCCATGGCAATTGAGATATTTATTTGTATCACTATTTGTATCATAAATTTTAGGAGCTTGTCAAGAAACTCAGAATGATATTCTTCCTGCATGAAATATAGAACTCCTTTCACGCTCTTTTAGTTCTCCATTTTCTTTGGGATCAACAGTAATTTACACACACAAATGCAGGGACAAACAATGCAATAATACAAGATTCGCAGAGCTCTCATGAATTCAGATAACAGGAGAATATGAGGTCCACGAAGCACAAGTCTCACAAAAAAATACAGTATAAGAAAATGAACTGAGTGAAATCACCAACCATTCCCAAAGGGGCATGTCATGTTTAAGGCTATGCCATCCTAAGGTGCTGCTAGATGGAAGGATCTTATCAACGTCCATGAATGATAAATCATAGCATAGATCAAACTGCCGAATCGGAAAAATTAGGTGCTATCATATAGCGCTTTGTATCGGCTAAGTTCACGAGTTGGAGATAAGCGGACTCGAACCGCTGACATCCGCCATAGGGTAAACCACCGCCTCTCAGGCCTCAATTGATTCTACCATAGAGGCCAACGATAGACAATAACTCCCCCCCGAACACAGCTTACAACTTACATCGTACTGTGCTCTCCAAAGAGCAACTCTTCTCAAAATCTCAATCAAAAGGTGATATTTCAAGGGATATAAGTACCATTTCCCCAGCTCATGAATTATTGACTGACATGAGGCATAAATATAAGAATCTATGCAATAACCAAACTCTAACTCCGACAAGGTGCAAATTAGCAAATTATGCATGGTGCAACTCCAAACTAAAACTAGAGATTTAAATTCCCAGACTACCAAATTTGAACGGAAGTACGGAACGTTTAACATAAAAGTAATTTGATGTTAAGCATACAGTTGAGGCAATGGCCTAACTCTACTCTTCCTACACTGATTTGTGGCACACTGATTCAACTCCATTTTAAAAGAAAAGCCACCAAAGTGCAAATGTTGGATCTGAGAAAAATCTCTGAGGAATAAATTTATGTCTAAAGTATTAAATGAATTTGAAGCCAAAAAAATCATAGACCTGGCTGGCCCAAATATCATATGCAATTTTAGGTATTAAGCATCCTATATACATTGCTTCAATTGTTCCCTGAGGCAGCAATTTACTAAAACTTGTTCATAAAAGAAAAAAAAAACAAAAACAAAAACAAAAAATAACACAAAAGGTTATGCATATACTTCAATCCTCCTGAGCATATTATTGTCCATTTTAGGTATCCCAAAAGCATGAAAGAAAGAATAGACTACATACAATTTGGCTAGCTTTTGGATTTTCTCCTCCATTTCCTTGTGTGAAAATTGCAACTTTTTGATAACCCTTTTTGGGTCATCAAGATTCTCAAATGCTGCTCGGTCCATCTCCAAGTTGTCAGAATCATAACCCCTATCAATGAAACGCTTACGGCTTCCATTCAATTTGACATTTGACAGTCCATTTCTATTTATCAAACTTCCGTTTTCAGTATTTCTTCTACCAAATCCTATATCCTTAACTTCTTGTCTAGCTACAATTTTATCTCCATCAGGGAATTTACCCTGTGTGTTGTAATCCCTTTGTCTGTTATCAACAACCTTTTCCCCCCAAGTCTTTGAAGAATATAAATCATGAGTAACTCCTCTCTCTTTGATACCCCCATGGCTACCATTAAAACCAGACCTAATTATGCTCTTACTCGTCCTTCCACTTCCACTTTTGTCTTGATTCTCAATCCCCCTGCGATCATCAAACTCTGGTTCTAAACTACGACTCCGGCGTTTCAACGACCCATTTTTTTGCTCTGCCTTCACATCAAAGTTGTTTCCTTTCCTTACATTTTCACTTCTAAATCCTTTAATTGGTGTTCTTCTGACCTTACCACTACTTCTGGAGGAACCTTCTCTGTACACAACAGCTCCATCAACTTTTAATGCCCCATCTTCTTTTGCACCAACAAGCCCATCTTTTCTATAAATTTTCTTACCAACACTATCAATTTTTTTGGTGTTGCTCCTTCCATCACCCTTTTCCATCGTCTTCTGTTTTTGAGCAGTGGAAGCAGGCTTGTTGCCTCTGAAAGTTTTGGCAGATTTCATAGCCTTCAAATACTCGTCGAAGGATGGCTTGAATTCTGAGTCCGTGGGAAGAAGCGGGTCACTAATCAACCCAGCATTGGAGCCACCATTCAGTGAAGCAGTAACTGCCCCGAAATTCGGCTTTCGAGAATTAGAGACCCGAATCTTCCTGGCGTTCAAAGCGTTCCCAAAAAAGGGTCTCAGAGAAATAGGAACCGCATAGGAAGAGAACGAGTTAACACCATAATGCAAAGCAGAAGCCGAAGCAGGATTCCCGTTAATTTCAAAGCCGACAATTCCCATCTCAAAAATAATAAACAGTACGACGTTATGTACTTACGGAGGACGAGGTAATACGAAGCTGCTTCATTCGACCAACGCACCTCACTCACACTGGGAAACCAGCATGGTCGCTCAAAATATCACGATGCAATTCTTGGGCCAATTCTTATGTCTATGTGAACTTTGGACACTTTTTTTCTTCTGATAATGTTATTAAAACGGGCCTAAAAATCTATTTTGGTCATTTATAATCTTTTTTTGTTTCAATTTAGTCCTTCATTAATTTTTTGTCTCAATTTGGTTCTAAACTAATTAATTGGTTTTAATTTGGTCCCAAACTAATTAATTGGTTTCAATGTGAGACTTTCCGTCCAAATTGCTTTAACGGTGTTAATTTTTGGCCACGTGGACACCACGTAGATGCATACGTGGATGCCACTTGGAAGATAATTTTTGTGAAAACACCTGGACCCAGAACGGCCCGTTCTGAAACCGGAACTGGCCGTTCTGGGTGCACTTTTGGTGTGTTAATTTTGCAACCGGAACGGCCCGTTCCAGGTGCAAACTTAACACACCGAAAATGCAACCAACACGGCCCATTCCGGTTTCAGAACTGGCCGTTCCGGTTTTATTTTATTTTTTTATATATAAAATATTAATAATTTTATAAAATATATATTATTAATTATATTTTAATTATGTTATTATATCCAATAAAATAAATATATTAATATTTTTTTATATTTTATTTTATTATGTTTATCTTATTAATTTTTATCATTTTATTCTTTTAATCTTAAATAAGTTGCAAAATATTATAAAGTGATATTTAAATATTTTTTCAAACAGAAAGAGAAAAAAAAATTATTACTCTATTTATAAGACAATTATATTTTATAAAAATAAGTAATTTTAATCTTAAATAAGTTGCAAAAAATTATAAAGTTATATTAATTGCATTTTTATCTCTCAAATATTACAATTGTGCAGTTTTGTGATCTCCAATATTTTAATTGCATAATTTTAGTCCTTAAAGAATTACAATTGCGCGATTTTGGTCCTTTAATTTTTAATTGGACAATTTTAGTCCCTCAAATATCATAATAGTTTGATTTTTGTTTCTCCCATTAAAAATTAATAATTTTAATATATATATATATATATGATGTTTTAAAATTAAATAATTATTTATCTATTCAAATTAACGTATATTATAATTTTCGATATTATATCAATAATATTATTAATATATTTATAGATAAACTAATAATTTGATAAATATAACTTGTTATATATTAATATACTTTTACAAAAATATAAGTATATTAATTAGAAATATATATCTGATCTTATATATTTATATTTTTGTAAAAGTATATTAATATATATTAAGTTATATTTATCAAATTATTAGTTTATTTATAAAAAGGGTAAAAATATTATTGATATTAATTTATCAGTAATATTAAAATACTAATAATATATAAATTTTATTTATTTAGTAATAGTAAATATATATCATTTGATACATTAAAAAAAA